TATAAAAAAAAACACAGTAAAAACGCCATTTTGAAACCCGGTTGCACAAAGAAGTTTCAAAAGAAAAACCAGGCTGGTGTTTAGATAGTTATAAAAAAAAAACATCACAGGAGTAAGACCCGCTCGTGTTAGCCTTAAGTTGCTTTAAACAATTTATCATTGTCCTGAGTGGGGGGGTCGCCTGTCTAGGGCTGCAAAAAGGCAGCTGCGAAGAACTGGCTGGAGATAAGAGCTCATTTACGCTGGATCTCTTCTCCGTTCGCAGCCCAAGAAAAAAGAAAGGGGGCTGTGAACTACGAATAAATCCTAGCACCTGAGCTTCTGCCTGCCCCTTTCTGCCAGAAAGGGGTGATATCTATTGATCTTAATTAGATATACAGACCAGAACTCGGAGAGGGGCTCCGTTGAGCTCCTTCGGCGACAGGCTCCTCCCCCAGCTAAGCTTGGTGGTTTTCTTGCAGAAGGCACTGATGATTACCATGTTTGGTAATGAAACAGCTACAAGAAAACCACCAAGCTCAGGGAGCCCCAAGGACCCCACAGTTCAACCTTGAGCTACAAATATTCTTTTCCATCAGCACTGTGACTGCACTGTAATTTTCCTATCTTTTTTTTCCCTAGAAAAATGAAAGGAGAAAAAAAAAGAGTGGCAAAACTCTTAAATTTTAGGCAAGATGATTTATGCAGTAACATTCTTTTTCTGGAAAGGCCTCTAGAATTCTGGAATGATAAAGAGAGTGAGCTGGTTACACAAATTCATAGAGAAGTTTCGGCTAGTTCCTCAACCCTATTTCTTATACAATGTGTTGTACACTGACCAACTTTGTAATATTGGAACAAGCTAAAGGAATATCAGCATTGCTAAGCGGTTTTACGTTAGATACATATTTGATTGGTCTACACACAACTTCTTTTGCCTTTCTTTAAATTTATTGGGCTGTTTCTTACTCTTTTATCATTGATACTTTCTTTACACAGAATCAAACAGAGAAAACAGTGGGATGAGGATGCCAGCTTATGAGCTCCCAAGTAAAAAAATACACATAAATGAAAGAATACAGTCATTATTTCCTAGACCAACCCAGAAACCTGGGTTGTTGCAATGGGGAAAAAAAGCAAATTAAATATACTATTTTATGTTCTCAGGGGAATGTTGACCTGTAAACCTAGTTTATTATCCTGAGATAAAATGGGTTACTTATTGGGAGGGGTGGATTTCCAATCCCCCTCCCCTTACATGTCTTTTATAGTACTTATATAGCAAAGGTTAACAAGATATTTGAAGCTCTAATTCTGTGCCCCATTTGCAGGAAGTAAACCCAACTCCAACCTATGGGATTTATGGAGTAGATGTGTACAATATAAATTGTATCATACATGGCACAAGTGCTGTTTCCATGCCATCTAGCTTATTGTGTCTCCAATCTTCTCTGAACCAGATCTAGATCTTTTGCTAGATCTTGAAGAAGAAGAGCACATAGAATTGTGATAAAGAACATTGCTGGTCAAACTTTTTGTTGCGATCAACTCTCATAGAAAATCAGTATCCAGCTCCATGATCTTCTTAGAGATTCCATCCAGTATCACAGATATAATGAGTAAACATGTATGTGGATAATAATCCTACCTGCTGTTTGAGACTTCTATATTTATTCCTATCTGCATACTCAAAATAATGTCCTCTTCCACAAAGTGCAATGCTTGCTGACTCCCTTGGTGCTTTTTTTTTAAACCATTAACTGTTGTCTGTAATTTTTTTAAACTTGGGATTTCTTCTAATTTTCCTCTCTATCTTCTAAGCCACATGCAGGCATTTATTTGGCAAAAAAAGCATACAGGATGCTGGGATGCTGAGGACATCTGACATGAAAACATAAGATTTTTGTTGAAATCATCTGCCAGGGAAGGAAGATTGAGAGAAAAAAAATGCTATAGTGGGCCTAATTAAGACAATGAAGCAATAATGTGATATTTCAGTTATAGAATAGAATTTGTCTTTCAGATGTATTGGGATTAAAATCCCTGGATCCCCGTTAGCCACACTGGTTGGAGATTCAGAAAATTGCTGTTCCAACAGACCTAGAATGATAAATTAGGGAAGTGCCTTTAGTTAGCATGATACCTATGGCAGGGCTTGAAGCCAGGTTTCAGCACTGTTGCCAAGAAGCATAACTCTTTAATAAGCTCGTTGGGGATTATGGGCTGGTCATAGGGAAGACATCCAGGTTACGAAATCAATCTATAATTCAAGTCTGGAAAGTGTTTCTATGTACAGGTAGTCCTCGATGTACAACAGTTTGTTTAGTGACTTTGTTTCAAAGTTATAACGGCACTGAATAAATGGGTTTTCTGCCCGGTTGCTGGGGGGCGTGGCCATGGTGGGTGTGGCCTAGTCAGCCTCCTGCACCATGGTGGGTGGGGGGCAGTTTTTGCCTTTCCCAGGCTCCGGAGGCTTTCCTCAAACCTCTGGGAGGGCAAAAACTGCCTCCCCCGGGCTCTGGAGCCCCTCTGGAAGGTCCATTTTCCCTGAGCCTCCGCATGGGCCCTGCACTTACCTCGCATCCAAAACGGACCGTGTGGAGACTCATGGGAGGGGTGGGCAGGGCCAGTTAGGGTTTGGAGGTTCTCCAAACCGGCCATAACATTAGCTACAGGTGCTCCCGAGCGTGTGTGACCCGAGCAGCCTACTCCTGACCAATTTTTACTCTTACAACCGTTACAGCATCCCTGCAGTCATGTGATCAAAACTCAGATGCTTGGCAACTGACTCATGTTTATGACGGTTGCAGTGTCCTGGGGGGTCATGTAATCTCTTTTTGTGATCTTCTGATAAGCAAAGTCAATAGCAGTAGAAGGGGAAGCCAGATTTGCTTAACAACCATGTTACTAACTTAAGAACTTCAGTGACTCATTTAACAACCATAGCAAGAAAAGGTGTAAAATGGGGCAAAACTCCCTTAACAAATGTCTCACTTAGCAACAGAAATTCTAGGCTCAATTGTGGTCGTAAGTCAAGGACTACCTGTGGAACCCTCTCTTTTAGTGCTCCCTTAAGAAGGAACCCTGAAAATGGCAGATAGATACCATTTCTCATGAACGTTTTGTGAAAAGTCTGATTTTGATTCTTTTCAAATTCCATTCTATTGTTGCAATATAATTTCAAGAGATTTAATTTTACTTATTAGTCGGAGTATAGATCAATGGAACTATGAATTTAGGAAATTTGCAAAGTACAGATAATAAAGTTAAAACAACACCAACAAAGACAAAGCAACCAGATAACAATACAATGGCTGCAAGATATCAGAGAAACTATAAAAACCTGTTAGATTTTAGAGGAATGCTGTTCCTAAACAGCAATGAAAAAGGGCTGGCTCTGAAGTCACATCAGATGGCACCATTTTACGGGTTGGACATGAAGCATATCAACCCTGTCCAAACTTACCAGGTGGGCAGAAACAACTGGAGAAAAATAATTTGGTGGCTATCCAAGGTGTAAGCCTATGGATTTAGTGGGAATTCCCAAAAACAGTGTGAGGTGTCATCCAACTGATAGTCTAGGCGCGGGAAAATCATGGGAAAAAACGATGGCTTCCAATTTCAAATATTCCTCCAACAAATAGCAGCAGGAAGCAAACTATAGCAGCATGCAAAAACTGAGAAACTCTCAAAAGTCTCATGCAAAAGAAGATGATAAATAAATAAATAAATAAATAAATAAATAAGCAAAGTGCTTAAAAGGGCAAACATTTGAAAAGTACCTCAGAAGTAACCTTGTTAGACAGTAATTTATAGTTGTACTAGCAGAAAGAGAAAAGACTCTCATTAGTGCGCAAAGAACAGAGAAAGAGAATGATGCTTATAATGAACTGAAAATGGGTGCCTATCTCTGAATTTCTCATTAAATCAGTTTTATCTATTAAAAAACTTGCTAAGCAAAATAGGCAATTTAAGAACAACAGCATAAGCTGCATGTTACTTGCAACTTATCTATATAATTCTTCTATTGCAAATTAAGGATTTCCCAAATCTTATGACCTAAAAACTTTACTGGTTCTCTTAGATAACAACAATCTTTCCCTTTAACAAATGGAGATATCTGAAATGGACAGTACTTTGCCAATAAAAAAGAACTGGTTACTTACCTTTAATTAAAGACCACTGAAGTGGTCTTCTGTGAATTTATACATATATGTTTTGTCCGTGCAGAGAGCCCCCATTTAGAATTTTCTAAAGCTTAGACAAATGTTGGCTCTCTCCATGAATCACATATGATTAGCACATATGATCACTGCTCGAGTCCCTCTCCAAGTGAGATAAGTCATTAAGAAATATGAAATATATAAACAAACAAATCCCTCTCTCATCTCCTTTTCTTTACAATACAGGCAGTTCTTGGGTTACAATCACTCATTTAGGTGCTGTTTAAATTTGTGATTGCGCTGAATGAGGGGGATTTATGACAAGTTCTGGCCTCACAATATCTACAGGATCATATGGTCATGATCTTGGCATCCAGCTCATGATTATTATATTGCAGCTAGCCATGGTCAAGCAACTGCAATTTCTGTCATTTCCTGCTGGCTTCCCACAAGCAAAGTCAATGGGAAAGACGGCAGGAAGTTGGAAGTCGCAGTCATTAGGTTATCGCTCAATGACCTGTGTGGTCCTTGCTTAAGGACAGCAATTGGGACTCCCAGAATTGGCTCCACTAAACAATACATCATGCTTTATCACCTTCACTTAGAGATAGCAATTCTGGTCTCAATTGCTGTCATAACCCGAGGGCTACTTGTGCAGCAAAGTTTTGGGAAGCAGCTTGATGAGTCATGAGAAACCAAATATCAAGTTGTGTGAATTCACAAATGGCCATCAGAGAAATTAAGAGTGTAACTAATTTCCTCTTTGCCCTGGTCGCTAGTGATTTATACATACTGATGAGTTCCTTGCTTATTATATACAGAAGAGATTGGTGTTTGTGGATCGACAGGAGAGAGGATCATTCTTCCTTGAATCATAATCTCAAAATGGAGGAGTAGATCCATAATCTCAGCTGTCATTCAGCAAAGAATGATGGGAAAGCAAGCTCTTGGTGGTGACCTAGCATGGATTTTACTTCTAAGGTCTGCTTCAAATCTTCAGTGAAGTCAAAGCGCACTTAATGGTACAGCTCAGAGAGGCTATAGAGATATCAATCTTAAATGTCTAATAGACGAAAAAGAACTCATGATGGCAGGGGTTTGTTTAGAAGGCTTTAGCTACTTATTAGATCGTTGCCCTCGTACCAATGATAACAGGGTACTCTAAGGATTATATCAGTAGGAGAGGAGGATTCTGAATAGAGTTTGACAATAAAATCTCTGGGTCCAGAAGGTTTCTAAACTTGGTAAGAACCTTAGAAAAACAAAGGGACATAAATAGAGGAGCTGTAGTAGCCTTAGAACTGGCTTCCTCGGGACTCACTTCATCCTCATTTGCAAATGAGTCATTACAAAAAGCCTGGCAGTAGGAGTATGGCAGTGTGAGGCTCTCTTTCTCTCACTCATGCCCTTGTTATCTCCCAAATGGGTTACTGTAACACACTACACTTGACCCTGTCCTTAAAGAGTACTTAGAAGCTACAGCTGGTGCAAAATGTAGTGATGCGAGCTGTGCATGTTACATCTCTGCTCTGCATGCTGCACTGGCTATCAGGGTGCTTCAAACTGCAATTCAAGATGTTAGTAATGACCTACAAAGTCCGACATGGCATGGGCCTGGGATATTTGGGGACCACCTCTCCTCGAATACGTCTATGCATCTAATCGGATTCATAAAGCAAGGCATCTTTCTGGCTATTAAGGAAAGTCAGCTGACAAGACCCAAGAACAGAAAATTTGTTTTGTTTTATTTTATTTCTTCCCCTGGGACTTAGATTGACATTGACTCTCCAATCTTTAGGGAAGGCTAAATCGATTGCATTAGAATTAGGCATTTTCCCCTCAAAAAGCTTTGTGGAAAAACTCATTTCCAGATATATTTCCCGTTACTGCTACAGTTTCTGATTGTACCAAATATTTTCCAGTCTTCCTTGATCTCAGTTAAAGAAATGCTTATAAGAGAAAGAGAGAGAGAGAGATCAAAGTTTTCACAATGCAGCTCAATAAATTTACATCTATCCAGTATCCAGCCTCAATGCATGGGAAATAAAACTCCCTTTGGAGTCGATGTTTCCACAAGTACTGACTCTTATACTCTTCACTGCCTTTTCCCATCAATGTCTCCCTCACCATTTGTACAGAGTTGCTAGAGAAAGGATGTTCTGTTTGCTCTTGGTTATTCTGCTCCTAGCAATCTGGGACAGTCTTGTATGCAAACCTCTCACATGCGTCCTTTAAAAGGAATCGATTTCCCCCTTCAATTTTCCTATGCTGGTTTTGCTTATTGCCTTTGTGCACTGAATTTTCTGAAGGCAATTTATAAAAGTTTAAGGACTGTTTCCTCCTTAAGTGTTGTACGTGGAAGAAATGGCAAGGGAGAAACGGAATATGCTTACACTGTTCTCATCCATCCTCTCCCGCCTTTTGGTTTTGTGACTTTCATAGTCTTCCATAAGCGTCTGCATCAGGTTCTTGGCTCTTTGGGATCCTCCAGATTCATCTGATGCGGAGCTGGGATGCGAGGGGGGACCTTCACCAGTTGGAGATGGAGGTGGTTTGATCTTCTCTATTTTACCTGTAAAGACCCAATCAAAATTTCCTTCTCTAGGCAACAGATTTGAAAAGAGTCTGAAAACATACGCCTAACTTCCCAAACAAAGGAGCATTTAAGCAGGGTGGGCTGCAGAGATTATTACGGATGAGACAGCTTGATGCATCTTAAAAAGGATGAAGTTAATTTTTTCTTGCCTACAGATTTTCAAACTGGGACCAGTAATTATAGCAACTAAAAAAGGATGTACATGTGTGTATGTATGCATGAGTATACACACATGTGTTCTTTCCACAGAATTACTGGGCATCAGAATTCTTCACCTGACTACAGATAGTCCTTGACTTATAATCAATGTTTAGCGATCAACAGCACTGGAAAAAGAAGGACTTACAACCAATTCTTATACTTACGCAACTATTGCATGATCAAAATTCTGGCACTTGGTGATCAGACCCGTATTTATGACAGTTGCAGCATCCTGAGGTCATGTGATCGCCATTTGCAACCTCCCACCTGGCTTCCAATAAACAAAATCAATGGGAAAAGCCAGATTCACTTAATGGCCATGTGATTAACTTTACAACTGCAGTGATTTGCTTAACAGCCATGGCAGAAAGGGCATAAACTCGTATAACTATAGTTTTGCTTAACAATGGAAATTGTGGCCATATGTTGAGGACTACCTACAGTATATAGTATAGATTCAGGGCTGCATTTCTGTTCTCCTTTAAGATGCTTCACTGCTTCCTGATTTTAGTAGATTAAAAGCAAAAGAGCAGAAGGTGTGTGAGAAGAAATCACTCTATATAGTTTGTTACACTCTCATACATACTGTTTTTAAAAAAATGCTATTGATAAGGTTGTCCATATTAACCATATCCTCTGAGAAACACCGGTGAAGATAAGTCTTCTCAAATTACAATTTGATGCATGTTACACAGAATCAAACCTGGGCAGCATTTGGGTGAAAGACCATCAGCAAATTCCAGGGCGATAGGCTAGACTGGTAAAAAATATATCTCAGTAAAAGGTAAAAAGGCAGGCCACTTGCACACTGTTGCCAAGAAAACTATATGTATGTGTCCATACAATCAGCAGTTGTTTGACATTAAAGAAGTCTTTACCTTTAATTCTGTAGAAACAGTGGCAGTTCAAGGCATTAACAAGTAGAAGTAAATTCAAAAATTTATCAGCCAAATTAATTACACAAGAAAATATGAACAACTTTTCTAACTAAATTCTAAACTTCAACAATAAGTTAATTTAAATGCACTTTCTCACTATCACCTAATGTGCGTTTGAAGTGATAGTACATAAAGGCTTGCTTCCCTCAAATGAAGATACTGTCATATGGAACAAAGTAATCTGTCAAAGAATTTGATCCAACAGTCACAATCAGCACTTTGATTTATGCCTCCAAATAGATTAGTAGCCAATGAAGCTGTTGTAACCTAGGAGTCACATTTTCTCGCATAAATCGTTCAGGAAATAATAGTAATAGCACTTAAGACTTATATACTGCTCCAAAACGCTTTACAGCACTCTCTGGATGTCAGCATAAAATGAGTCCTCATTTTACCAACCTTGGAAGGATGAATCAACCTTGAGTCAGTCAGGATCGAACTCCAGACTGTGGGCAGAGTTAGCCTGCAATACTGCATTCTAACCACTACCCCACCACCGCTGTCACCTGAATTAATATTTGGATCACGGAATCTGAATGCCTTTTCAAGACATAGAGTGCTCCAGTAGACCAAAATTAAATTCCTGTACCTACAAATTAAAAGCAAACTGGAATCTGATCCACAATGCATCTGATTTCTTCATATAATACCAACACTGTAGAATGCATCTTGAAATTACATTATAGGCTCAAATATACAGTAAACTAAAAAAATCATCCCAACCTATATTTAAAATAATAATGGTTTTTGTTAATGCTTGATTCAGAAATACAGGAGGAAATAAATATTTTCCATTCCTACTTTCCTAAATGATGGTCTCTTTAATTATCATAAAGAGGAAAACACATAACTATATTTCTTCTATATTCCTATAAAAAACAGCTATGGACATAAACTGTTTTGTGTTAAAACTATTAAAACAATGCCCTTTCTGTGCATGCAGTATGCAAAAAAAAAAAAAACCAAAAAAAACCCCAGGACATTTCAGTCAAGGAACAAAAATTACTATTACCACTAGAGGTCAGAGATGTAACAGAAGTTCTGCTTAGAATAAGTAGGCAATTTATTCTGAAAACCAAAATATTACTGGCATGGCTTTGGCTAATGTATTGCTTTTCTGAGCCAAATAGAAAAGTCACATTGCCACAATTTTTTACAGTTACAACCCCATGATCATGTGATCAAAATTAAGAGCTTGGTAAGTGTTTCATACTTATGACCATGTGTTCCAAGGTCATGTGATTCCCTTTTGCAACCTTTTGACAAAAACGTCAACGGGGAAGCCAAATTCACTTAACAACCCATTTACTAACTTAACGGCAGTGATTCACTTAACAACTGTGGCAAGAAAGGTTGTAAAATGGGGCAAAACTCGCTTAACAAATGCCTTGCTTAGAGAGAAATTTTGGGCTCAATTGTGGTCGTAAGTTGAGGGCTACTTGTACTATGGGCATGCCTGGAGTAAAATCTAGTTTTCACTGTACTTGCAGAATCCCTAGGCAAAATATGTAAAATCTATAGATTGAATTGAGATGAGAGGTACCAAAAATCATTTTTTCAGTGCCATGATAATTTTGAATGGTCACTAAATGAACTGTTGTAAGTCGAGGACCACCTGGATTCATACTGTTGAAACCACTCTCTTCAATTTAGGGATCACTTTCCACACCAATATATACTGTTGCCTGCACTATACCAACCAGGAGGTATATATAGTTACTGCGACACATAAATGCATGAGTCGGCTATTCCTGCAAGATTATCAGAACTTGCTTTTACAGATGGATGAATAGCTTGGTTGATAGGCATATGTCCAACAATTGATCAATTAATACTTGAGAATTGTACCTCTTGAAAAGCAGAGATGAGTTGGCTTTGATCTTAATTTTTTTAAAACTAGAATGTCACCATCAAATGAGATAACTACTGTCTTTTAAAAGTAAAATGTACAGTTCGGACATCTCTACAGTATAAGAAGAAATTTAAGATTAAAAAAATAACTTACGACTAGCTAGTATTTACTGAAAAATTCCAATAAACAAAGGGGGGGGGGTGGTTTTCCAGATTTTTCACTGGTCGATATTCAATTATAAAAAATGCAAGATTAGGGGACTTATGTCTGACTGAGCAAGTTCTTTAAGATGCTAAAGCTGCATTCTCTGAATATAGATTTAGCTGTGTCATAATTTGTAGAGATTCTCAATTCCATTCTAGTTTTAGAAAATAGAGCAGAGCTCAAACTCTTGGCCTGGGGACTGAATTCCTCACGCGCTGGCCACGCCCATGCCCATTTTAAAGAGAAAAAAAGTCCCGATACGTCATGTGATGCTGCTGTGACGATGTGAGTTTGACACCCCCGCTATACAGGAAGCAATAATGAAAACAGGTTGCTTCAGAGTTATTAAATACTAATGGATTAAAAACATTTAATACTATTAAAATGCCTTTAATCCATAGCCATGTTACAAAATCCACAATTCAAATACAGTGTACTGTATATTGAAAATGCAATGGTATTTTCTGCTTAAAATCAAAGATGTTGGTTCTGAGATTACTGATACAGATAGTCCCAGACTTACAACAGTTCATTTAGTGACCATTCAGAGTTACAACTGTACTGAAAAAGTGATTTATGTCCATTTTTCACACTTATGACCTTATCATCCGCATGGTCACATAATCAAATTTCAGAGGTTTGACAACTGACCCATATTTATGATTGTTACCATGTCCTGGAGTCATGTGATTACATTTTGCCCACTTTTCTGATAAGCAAAGTCAACGGGGAAGCCAGATTTATGGAATGTATAAGAATTAAAATTTATGTGACAAACTTATAAAATGTTTCTTGCAATATACTGTAACTGGAATGTCATAATAGGAATAGTCTATGACTCTAATGCCCTGGTTCCCCAGATAATAAGCCCAATTGGGCTTCTGAGTGCATGCGCTAAAATAATCCCTCCTCCAAAATAAGCCCCCTCCAAATATTGCAACACAGCAACAGCCATGAGGGGGCCACGCTTGCCACCCCCTGCACCTCAAAAATAATAAGACCTCCCCGAAAATAAGGCCAAGCACTTATTTCGAGGGTCAAAAGAAAATAAGACCCTGTCTTATTTTGGGGGAAATATGGCACATGCAATATATGGTGTGTGTGTCTGTGTATCTACAAACACATCACATGAGTTCTGATGGGCTTTTGCAGAAGCAGTTCAACTATTTGAAATTCCAAATAGCAATTTCATTTGCTTTTTAACCTCCATTTAACTTTTAAATACAAAATCGTCTTGGCATGTACAGTAGGCTGGTGTGGGTAGTTTTAAAAATACTGCAGAGGAAAGCAGTGGTAAACCACATTCACTCTGTTGCCAAGAAACCCACATGGGTATGTCCACAAAATTACATGACATTTTGTCAGTAAGGAATTCAGGGCGTGTATTCTATTTTTCTTTTTCTAATTTGGAGGAATTCTCATTGCATTCAAGCCAAGGGCATAAGGGTTTTGTAGGGCCCCCAGAGGATTATTAAGTGCTGAACAAGACTAATATATCCTCCCTCACCTACATATGGACACAGGTTTCTGTTTTTTCTTGCAGTTTTGAGTTCCAGAGTTTTGAGGTGACATTTCATAACCATTCATAAGCTGAAATGAAATATAAAATATATTCATATATGAAACAAAACTTGCAAACGTAAATAAATAAGTAATGAAATTAAAATTCAATAAATTACATAAATAACTGTTCACTGAGTTTCAGATTAATAAAGGTTATGTCAAACAAGGCTGCAAGGTGGTTTTGCTATACACATAATGTATAGAGTATGAAGTATATA